TTCAACATCCTCCCTCACCTTTCACTCGCATCTCCATCATCTTTGGCCCACCGAACCTCCTCCACTCGCCCGTCCTCTTCCCCCCCCATCACCAACTCCCGCCACCCCTCTCTTTCGCTGTATTTAACACTCTTTCGTTATTTCAATTTTTTAACATCCTCTCTCACCTTTCACTAGCACCTCCACCATCTTCGTCCCACAGGACCTCCTCCACTCGCACCTCCCCCTCCCCCCGCCACCCACTCCCGCCATCCTTCTCTTTGGCCGTAATTCACTCTTTATCGTTATAACAGCTTTTTGACATTCTCTCTTATCCTTCACTCGCACCTCCACCATCTTCGGCCCACCGGACCTCCTCCACCCGTCCCTCCCTCTCCTCCACCAACCACCCCCACCGCCCCTCTCTTTCGCTATAATTCACTCTTTTTCGTTATTACAACTTTTTAACAACCTCTCTCACCTTTCACTCGCGCCTCTACCATCTTCGGCCCATTATATATTTTTCATATTATTATATATTGACCGATATTCTAATTTTTAATTGTGTCTAAAGCGACTAAGTATTTTATTGTATTCTTTTTCTTTAGAAATTCATAGTATAATTTTTATGTTTGTTTACTTACGAATTGACTCTCATTGTCCTTCACCTTGTTTTAATTATTAAATTGTAATATATTACCACGAAAAGTAACTGATTATTAATTATTAAAGTTGCCAATACAAAGTGGACATACGTAAATTGTATTCGACTGTCATGGGACATTTCGACTACCCGCAGAGCGGTGAGGGGGACAATGCAACATTTGGTTGATTTTCGAATCGCCTCCGTCTAGCTTTCGCTGTCCCTCTCACAACACCGCACCGCGCATAATATATTACCAGGAAAAATTACCGTTTTTCATTTATTTAATAATTTTGACTTTTTAATAATTTTGTTTTATAATATGCAATCGCGTTAACGAAAAAAAATTAATATGTTGTTATAAATCTAACGTGTCAATATTAGACGGTTAGTGAAAGCAGCCTTGGGGATTGTTATCAAAACAACACATCAAATGGAAGGGCGAATGCGAGTCGCACGTCCCCCCCGCGCCAGGCTCACCGATAAACCGTGCAGTCATCATTTAAATACATATTAAATAAAATTATTATTTTAAATACTACCGACTGCTGACCGATATGACGTACATATATTTAAAACTATCGCAGTACTATCACGAGTTAAATTGTTAATATATTACCACGAAAAGTAACTGATTATTAATTAAAGTTGCTAGTACAAAGTGAATATACAAAAAGTGTACGTAACTTTCGGCCGATTTTCGAATCGCCTCCGCTTTCCGCTGTACCCCTCACCACATATTTAATACATATTAAATACATATATACATATTTGTAATATATATTTTAAATAATAAAATTATTTTAAATACTCCCGACTGTTGACTGGTATAAAAAACATTAAATAAGCTTTGAAAACTTATTTAAAATAAAAATTACCATTTTTATTAAAACATCTGTTTTAAATAACTTAATTTTTTAAAAATGAAAGTGGTAAAGAACGTTTAATCCTTTACAGAATTAAATTTAAAGAGTTAATTACATAACTGGTACTCAGTCCTTCATTTTTTAAATAGTTTTTTATAGGCTATAGTAATTTGACTTTAAATTATTTAAAACAGTGAAATCTAACCAATTAGTATTTTATCGCTTTGAAATGTGATTTGAACAGCACGAATCGTTTAATTAATATGATAATGTAATAATATAATGCACCGAAGATATACCTACGATATCACAATAAATAAAAATATATTGTCCGAAGTCGACACGTTAATTAATACGCCTCCGCCTCGCTTTCGCTATCCCCCTCACCTCACCGCTCCGCGCGTAGAACAATGACATTCGATCATCGTGGAGCATTTGGACTGCACGTGGTGAGATGAGGAGGGGAGGGTTGGGCAAATGCAACTTTCAGCTGATTTTCGAATCGCCTTCGTCTAGCTTTCGCTGTTCCCCTCACCTCACCGCACCGTGCGCAGAACAATAACATTCGACTGTCATGGGACATTTCGACTGCACGCGGAGCGGTGAGAAGGAAAATGCAACTTTTGGCTGATAACATATTGCGGAAATTTTTTAGAAAACTGTAATATGCAAATTGTAATCTGTTTTACTTATATGTATGTATGTTCATTTTGAATTTGCACCTTGAATGATCTATTAGTTACTTTTCGTGGTACATATTCAACATAGAAAATATTCGTTATATGTACGTTCAATTTGAACTGGCAGATTTAGTAATATATCAGTTACTTTTCGTGGTAATATATTATATTAGATAATATCATTTAAAGTATTAAAGGTTTAAATTATTAGGTTACATTATTAGATAATCATTATAATTTAGAATGGTACAAATTTTTGGGGTCAATTTTCAAAGGAAGATATTCATTGAGTTTTTTATTTTGTGATTAGGTAATCGTTTTAATTTTGAAAGGTTCAATTTTTGTAGTTTTCATTTACTTTTCGTGGTACATAACATAGAAAATAACATAATGTATGTTCACTTTGAACTGGCACATTTAGTAATATATCAGTTTCGTGGTCATATATTATTTAGTTATTTTTCAGACTTTTAATAACGATTTTTAGTCATATTTGAGCGTGAGCGATGGTTACGATAGGTCCATGTATTTTTGCCGCCTCACTTATGGAAGGAAGAAAGAAGACATCGTCGAAGAAGCAAGAAATAACCTGAGAGGATCTAGTTTGCGTCACCGAGGAGCGCGGTACACGCAGGTCGTATTGTTCTGTAACCTCTGCTAATTTATTATTGAGATTATTTGGTGATTGTCGCACCTATATTGCAGACACCTCGGAGAGAGACGTCTTAAAGGATTGTCTGGACTCTGGCCGAACCTTTAACTTCCGAGGAGAGCGCAAAAAGATCGCAGATCGAGCAGGAAGCCTTTTCCGCTTATTTGGAAAGCGCGCCAGACATCCAAAGGATACGCGACTCGCAGGACTCGCTCTGATTTGTCGCGAGGTCGCGTGGCTGTGATAAGCCAATTAGAGCAGGAAGCGGCCCGATAGAAGAGGGGCCTAACGGCCTGCGTGGATCCGCGGAAGCTCCCGATCGTCACTTGTGCGGTAATCGAGCAGCTGTAAAGAGGACGCAGGATCTCCGATGCCGTATTGATAAGATCTCCTGAAGCATGGACGAATTAGTGAAAGAATCTCTGGACGCCTATTACGAGATTATTAAGAGGGCCTGTTGACGAGAATAACTGTCGTTGCCGAATTAGCGAGAGAAATGGAGAGCGATCGACGAGGGATCGTAACATGGTGAGGCGAGCGTCGTCATTACGAAATTATGTAAAACCACCGGTCACGGTATGTGAAATGCGTCTCGAGTGGATCGCGCGTTAGGCGGTATTTCGTGTTAGAGTTCCCGATGTCGTATTAACCGCCTGAAGGCGTTTTAGAGTAATCGTTGCCGTAAGTGCGTGCCATCCGTTCGGACGTTGAGATTTGGAAAGAATAATTATTGTTGTTGCTCGCCCTTATTGCCGCCAAGTCACTTGTGTAATTGTTAGTTATTGAGAATTCTTTAAAGTCGAGACTGGCGTTATTGCGCATTAGAGAACCGTTGCCGTCTAATGTAAAATCGTATGTTCTAATTGTTCACGAAGTAATTACTGTTAACATAATAAGATCTAGATTTGGTCGCATATTTCTCGGCGAAGTATTGCCGAATTTCCTTTTTGTTGTTGACGGCCAGTTAATAGTCGGTTTATTGTTATTGCGCCGTATACCAGAGCGCGGAAGGTCAACGCTGTAACGTACTTTCTTTCGAACACTTTTGTACAGTCTCTATCAAATATATCGATTTCTCTTTATTGTTATCATTAATTCTGGTGCATTTATTTCAGCCTCTCCATCGTTCTCCGACAATTTCCTTGCTAACCGCGAATCACTCCCCTCTGCCAATTCCGTTGGCTGAGCTAGTTGTTTAGTCCGTCGCGAGAATCCGCGTAATCTATAATTTCTTTGTCCGAGCAATTTATCTAACATTTGTGCGAAAAGTGGCACGCTCTCTCGTGCCTGGCGCCCAACGAATTTTTGATAGCGACTAAGATCTTTGCTGAGCGAGGTAACTCGTTAACATTTGTAAAATCTCGAATCACGCGAGAATTATTGACGAACCGCACTATTGCTCCAGTAAGTATTGTTAATTTCAAATAAGAGCTTTCGCATCATTAGATTTCTTTTGGAGGACGCGACGAAGTTGTGTCGACACTCAAAAGTACGGTTACAACTTTGGCGCCCAACACGTGGGGCTTCGAGTGAAAACATTTAATGAAATTAATTGCGGAGTCGGAGAGCGACAGAGTTTAAGAAATTATTTTTGTTGCAATATTGTATATTATTTCTTTGCATTTTCTTGTATATTTCTGTGCATATTTCTTGTATTTCTTGTATATTTTTGCATATATTTTGTATTTTCTTGTGCATTCCCTGTAGCGGGATTCTCTAATATTCCTATCGACGATTGTCGCTATCGTTAACTGTACTTATCGATCATTTTCGTTACGAGTAGTTACGAGTGATTCTGTATCGAGCAATTATCGATATTTCTCGTTAAATCGAATCGTTAAGTTTCGAAAATTGTCGGTACGTTAACGATGGACTCCGGAGGTCTCGTTAACCACTTAGCGATACTCGAACGTTTCGTCTCGGCTCGGATGTTGCATCTCCTCATTTTTACATTTTTGAAAAGTGTTGCCGACTTCGACTGTGCCTTGCCCCCAATTATACGAGAGTCCTTTTTATTCGTCTGGGCGCGCGGCCGTGCGGTCGCCGCGAGGGCCGTATCATTTTTTGCCGGGATCGCATAATCCTTTTTGTTCTTTTTTTTTTAAATTTGCAGCGTGTCATCTAAATAATAATAAAGTTAAAATAATATAAATGACATAAATAAATTATTGATTTTAAGAATGGCTGATGCCTATCTTGCTGAAAACATATTGTTTTTGGAAAATCATATCCAACGTCTCAACCGAAGAACAGATCGACAGATATTGCGAGAAATAGAAGAACCATTTGATTTGACTGATATTGAATTCAAGGAATTATATCGTTTAACTCCTGAATTAGTAAATAATCTTATAGATTTACTTGCACCTTATTTGACACACACAAGGATTACTGAACTATCTTGTAGATAAACAAGTAAGTAATCATAACAACATATCCTTCCATGTAACACAGTCATATTTATAGTTGGATTGCTATTTCTAATGTGTAACGATGCATCCCCCCATCGTTCCTACATACCATCCCGTCGGACGCCGCTGCATTGCTTGGCAATGCAGTGATGAGGGCGCTTAGCGCCCGATAAAAATCAAAGCATAATTTACAGGTACGAGCGGCAGTAACGGTCGCACAACGCCGAGCACCGCCGAACATAAACGATTTAGATCGATCGGCGAGGACTCCCACTTTCGGGACGTAGTCCCGCGCTTCGCGTAACACGAACAACGAAGCAAACGCGAGCGAAACCGGAGGCCCACGAACGCGGCATTTTCAGCTGTATAAAAATGCCGCGTTACGGAGAAAT